CTGTCATGGTACCAGCACCCTATTCAACAAAGGCTGCTGAGTCAGGCAGGTGTGCGGAAAGGTGCGCACCCGTCCACCCCAAGCTCCTTCTGAATTGTGGCCACCTTCACCGCTGCAGCAAATGTAATGCAGTCATCAAATAGACACGCTGATAAGCACAGCCAGCAGCGCATGTGCAGTAATGGCAGCAAAGTCCCCATCTGCGCGGCTTGAGTAAATCTCCTTCAAAAGCTGTAGCTGCGATCAACCCCGGCATGTCCCCGCATATTCAACTCATGGCCAAAGTCTCTTTTTCTGGTCTCAACTCTACACGTCGACGACCGGAGTCAAAGGCATCGAACATCACATAGGGCCTTAGAACTTCTCCAGAAGCCCTCACACAGCATAGCACAAGGTTGTTGCTGATGCTCATCGACTCCCGTTACAGTACCGTTGTGAGAAGAGGGCAGCGGCGGCAGCTCGTCAGTGAGGTCCCTGTTGACAACCTCCACCAGCTCCTGCGTTGATGCTGAGCTGACGACCCTCGAAGCTTTGTTGTCCAGGAAACTGACAAGTGCCAGGTCTAACACTGCAGCTGATGCCTCGAGGTTGGCTCGGAGAACTTCGTCAGGTAGGGCACCGATCAGAGCGGTGGCGACACGCCTCACACTGCTCACCTTTGGCTGAAGTGCATCGTTTGAGCTGGGAGCCTATCAGGCAGGACAAACGCAATGTGCGGTATCCCGTCGACGTGGAACTGGTGTGTCCACCTCACCGAGCTAAAGCTATGTTACATCATCATCTGATATCTGGCTGACGTTCAATACTTGATCATTCTGAGGAACAAGTCTTAATCTAAACTAGGGCCAAAGAAGTACGAAGCATGGAGTACAGCACAGACTGAACACGCTGAAGCGCCAGTCCATATCGTCATTGCCGGAGTTGGCGGTCCAGCTGGAGACGTCCATTGTCACAAATTCGACTTTATCTCCGTACCTTGGCAATTAGAAGAACGCAGGCAAGGACAAGGCTGCAGCATGCTGCAGCGGATCAGCCAGCATTGCGTAGAGCACGGCTCATTCTGGCTTGCAACATTTGCGACCTGGAGGCTGCTTTTCCAATTCCTTGGACAGGAAACTTCAAGGCTCAGAATGTTCAAATCAACCGCCGGTGGCACCAAAACTTAGTGCAGCGAAGATTCTTGCAGCGTTGGAGCCATGACGATACAATCAGCACACCAGGTGGCCGAAAAGTCGACAAGCAAGGGCCTCTGAATCAACAACGAACCCTCGCAACGCAAGCGACAGCCAGTCTGTTTATTGGCTCTTAATGATTGTGTCTGCACATTGCCAGCTTCCATCATCAGCACCACTTCACATGCAAACTGGCAGGAAAAGTGCAAACATAAAGGCCGCTACACAACGAACTTGGGCGAATAATAAGATTCTTGGCTGTTTCTGGGACTGAGTGGGTTTGCGCACTCCCAACGGCCTGCCAGACTGCAATGCCACCTGACAAGCAGAAAATCATTGGAAGACGAATGGAATTCGCCGGCTATGAATGACATGTGCCCTCCTGCAAGGGCCGGGACTTAGCCCCAGCGGCGGCGATTAAGGCAGCCGGGTCCTCGCGCGGCTCTCCTTGATCGCGGGACAGCGCAAGACGAGCTCTAGCATACACAGCGCGCTGACGCGCATTGTCAAGAAGCGGTCTCAGATATTATCTGCCATGCCCCGGCTCCTTGAAGAGAAGTCAGTGCCTCAGCATTGATTCCAAAAGTCAGTGAAGATCAGGAATGTCCCGCCAAAAGGTGTTTTGAGTGGTTTGTTCAATAGACTTCCTGGTCAAAGAATGCGGGTTGGGGAAATCGTGTCTTTGCTCCTTGTAGGATTGTTTCACTTGCTGTTTCCATGCAATCCGCCTTGAAGCCTGCCAAATTGGGCGATGACACCTCTCCTCACGGTTGACAGTTTAGCACAAATGAATCTCCGGTGAGATCGTCAGGGGGTGATGTATGGCTGTCAGGAGCTGAAGCTTTTTGAGGGCCTGGGCTCCAGGATGCTCGGTGGGTTTTGAAATGTTTTGAGTGTAATTTTGGAGTTCTCAACTCTGCTCTTAGGAATCTGGAGCCTATGCTTGGCTTTGAGGGCTCAGAGAAGTCTTGGAGGCTCCAATGCAGTTCAGGCATTTGCTGACATTTAGGTTTAAGGAGTTTGGGTCTCGGGGTCTGCCAGTAGTCCATGTGAGACGCAGGCAACAGTCTGCACAGAAAGCCTGGCGACTCAAATTACGAAAGCGAAAGCCCTAGCAGGCAAGGCATGGTACTCAGAGTGGAGGTGTGGCCGCACCACATCACTGCAAATCTATCGGCGCCCTTGCGCTGAGCTGCGCCAGCACCCCATAGGGCAGGAAGGAGGGGTGTTGCGCAGCAATAAGCTAAAGCATCTAAAGCAAAGAGGCGTCCCGGACATGACCTACAGGTGACCCAAAGACAAAGCCTGCAACGCTGCTGCTAGCGGAGCCCGGCTCAGAGACAGTTTCGAACGGGTTTGGAACTGCAGTGAACTGCACAGCATGGCACAGCAGCACTGCACCGAAGCGAAATGCACTGCTACCGCGATGCCGTGCAAAGCGACTACGAAACTTTCATGTCTTCAGCAATGGAGCCTTTATCACGAAAAGTACATCGCTAACATCAAATTCCACGGTCTGCGCAGATAATTCTCGCTCGCAACGGATGCAGTGCTCTTCAGTTTGCTGTAGAGGTGCGGCATGGTGCGGCGCGCGATCTGGTTGCAGGGACCGTGCTTACAGCGTCCCAAAGCGAGAGGCCATCCGAGCGAAGATGCGCGGACGCTCCTGGCGAGGGCATGGCACTCCATACAAGAGTACGATGTCGAGCCGACACAGGAAGATGTTCCACGCGCGAGCGTGATTACTAGTCAACATGCGAGGACGCTCCACACAAGAGCAGGATCTGACGCTAAATATGTGACACCGTGCAACAGCTATGGCAGGTGAAATTCATGGGAATGTTTAATGTAGAAAAGGTGCCAAGAGCAGTATTGTCAACAAAGAAAACGATTAAGACTAGGACAAGAGGTGATAACGTCGAAACAGAACAAACTTGAAGAGTTCTGAAAACTGCGTGATAAACGTAACAGAACCCTATAAGAACAATTTGCAGAACAATCGTAGATCGCATTTCTACTTTGCAAAGTTCTAGCAAAGCCCATCGTTCGGCTCGGGAAGCACGGCGGGCAAAGGCCGATTGTCTGAGGGAGCAAGCTGATTGCTATTGGGCGGGCGTATGCAGCTGTTCAGCGGTGTCCACCCGACGCAGCATGGAGGAACCGACGTAAGAGATGAATGCCGGGAGTGTTGTCCGCCCCCAAGGTACCGGCGGGGTCTACTTGGGCAGCTCCATCATGACCGATTTGCAGGCAGCAGTGTGCCCACGCCACGAACGCCACAGCCAACAGACGACCACCACTCTCCGGAAGGTAGAATGGTCTGTAACCGCTTCTGCCAGGTCGGCGGTGGTCTGAATTCCGAACTCAAAGAGCTTGTGCATTTCCTCACCGACTGATTCACCGCCAGAACAGGGGCGCGAAGAAGTGCAGAGTCGCCCGACGTGACCTCGTCGAAGCACCGCTGAAAAGGGTGCCGGATGGTGCCGGCACAAAGGGCGGAGAGGCCGCCTTGGTCGGTGGCGCCTTCTTAGGATCGTGGCAGCATCCCGTACCCAGAGGCGAGGCGATAGGCGATGCGCCAGAGTGCTGGGCGCTTTCTGGGACTCGGTGTCGTGTCCGCCGGGAGGCCGACGGGTCCCACCTCCGGCTCGAGGAAAGAGCGCGTGTAAGGGCGGCTTGTAGAAGACGGCGCTGTTGGCTGTTGGCGCCGTCCCGCAGGATGCCATAGGCGGTGACGAGAAAATAGGCTCGCCCGCAGCAGCGGTGGGATCAGGCACTGACGTCGTGCTGCCAGCAGCCGCACCATCCCCGCCAGAGCGGTTGTAATTGGTGGGGAAGACGTGCTGCCCAAAGGCGGGTCGGTGAGGAGGTAATGCCCCAAAGCAGTCAACCCGCACACCTGGGTAGAGCTCAGGTGCCAACATGCTTGCTGCGCCAGGCGAGGCGTCGGCCGCTGCAGGCACCTGAGTGACAGTAGCGATGCCTGGCACGTTGTTGAAATCATCACCCAGGTTCCGTGTTGTGGCGGTTGTCGTCAGCAGCCTGAAGATCACCAGCTCCGCCAGGAGCACCACCCTCGATGGCGGTTGATCGCCCTCAGAAGGCAATGGAATTCGCGCCCGGGAGAGCTGCGCCAGCGGTAATCTGCAGGCGGCGTCGCCCGCTCCAGCGAGGCGGCGCAAGTAATGCGAAATTGCGACGTACGCAGTGTGGCCCGGGGCTGCAGATTGATCAAGTCCGTAAATCGAACGAAACAGGTACCTTGAAGACCACAGGGGCTAAAGCTTGATTAGTCTTGAACCCTCAAGTCCTCAAAAAGGCAACTTGGGAGCCTGAAGCTATCTTTCGCGTGCGTGGGATGTAATGGTGTCCCTGCATAGCTTCATGAACAAGATGCAGCACATGCTGGGGCGCGTCTTGGCCTCGTTGTCCGCAGCGGCGCTATGACACATGCTGCATTCTGAAATTCTAACCAATTAAAGGTCCAAACAACAAGAAGCCTGGAGGTGGACATGGCTGCAAGGTTCGGGGCTTGCAGCTTTTAAGTTTCGGGTTTATTGGAGCTGTTGGGGCTGCAGGTCTTCAGGGGGCTGTGAAGGCTCAAGATGTTTTCGGCTTGGTGATTTTGAAGTGTAGCATTCGCTTTTGCAATAAGGGCTTACAGTAGGGTTTGGGAGCCCCAAAATCATGAGCAGGTTTCAGTGATAACCACGGTTCCCGCTAGGGTGCGCGGCCGTCATGTTTAAGGATTTTAGGCTGCACAGCCGGGGTCAGGAAGACTTGTGTTTTTTTGGCGTGTTCGCAATCGTTGACGGATCTACGAATGCAGCAAAACCCCTAGCCGAGGCCAGAAGGTCTTGTCAAGATCATGACTTAGAAATAATTGTTGCGCATGTGCACTTACATAATGCTCCCCCTGACGTGCGACATGTTCACAAGAATGGAAACAACTGCACTTGGACAGGTGCTCGTAGCATTGTAAAGTTAGCCAACAAGGAGACAGCGTGGTGGCAAGCCAGCTCAAGCCCCGGCAGCGACTCACAAGCAAGA